AATATACAGAGTCACTGTACCAGAATGAACTGATAGATGTTCAACTATTTCAAGAGTTACCAAAATGATCAAGAACCAATGGCAAATGAAGGAAGAAGTACAAGATGGATAGACAGCATTGATAAAAAACAAGATTCCACAAACTAATGGAATGAATACAAATTGAAATGTTTCAACATACTAATGCAGAGCTAGAGGTACTAACTTGTCTAAACCAAGAAATATGGCAGACTGCTATCTGGCCTACCAAGTGGAAAAGATCCATATTTTGTGCCCATTCCAAAGAAAGGTAACCCAACAGGATGGTATAACATCATCAATATCACATGCAAGCAAAATCCTGCTAAACATAATTTTTTAATGTTGCAGCAGCATACTGACAAAGAGCTGCAAGAAATTCAAGCCAGATTCAGAAGAGGAAGTAGAACAAAGGATTTAATTGCTGATGTCAGGTAGGCATCAGGAATCTCTGTAGGAGCCTCCACTTGGATGGTCTGAATAGCCACTATCATGACCATAGCTGTCTCTATCACTATAGCCTCTGGATGGACAGTCATCACGTGAATTGGAATGACCATAATCACGATATGTATAATCTCTTGGTGGTGGTACATAATCTCTTGTATCACGAGAACTTGGGAAATATGAAAGTGGAGAATATTAGAAAGATGTTTACTTGTGCTTTATTGACTATACAAAGACATTCAACTATGTGGATCATAACAAACTATGCATAATATTGTAAAGAATGGGAATTCCAGACCACTTAATTGTGCTCATGTGGAACCAGTATATAGACTAAAAGGCAGTTGTTCACACAGAACAAGGGGATACTGTTTGATTTAAAATCAGGATAGGTGTGTGTCATGGTGGTATCTTTCACCATACTTAATCAATCTGTACCTTGTGAAGAATGGGTATTCCAGAACTTTAATTTGCTTATGCAGAACCTGTATATAGACCATGAGGCAGTCGTTAGAACAGGGGGATACCGAATGGCTTAAAATCAGGAAAGGTGTACGCCAGGGTTGTATCCTTTCACTAAACTTATTCAATCTGTATGATGAGCGAATAATCCAAGAAACTGTATTATATGAAGAATGTGGCATCAGGATTGGAGGAAGACTCATTCACAACTTGTGATATGCAAATGACATAACCTTGCTTGTTGGAAGCAAAGAAGACTTGAAACAAAGACTATAACCTTCAGGTGAGCAGTAGTGCTAGCGGGTTTCTTCTTGCTTTCTCTGACTCAGCAGTCAGTCCTCGTGCTGAGCCTCAACGAATCGCCTCCTGGTGAGCCAACTAGCATCTGGATTGCTAGGGAAAAATGGTTGAAGCCGACCACCCTGAAAAGCAACATTGGAGGGCTCAATACAAAAACTAATGAGAAAACCCTGGAAGCAGTATATGGCAAATATGGACAGATTGTCGAAGTACTCTTGATGAAAAACCAAGAAATCAAGAGGATTTGCTTGTCATCTTTGAAAGCCCAGCAGATGCCAAAGATGCAGCCAGAGATATGAATGAAAAGTCTTTGGATGGGAAAGCTATCAAGGTGGAACAAGCCACTAAACCAACATTTGAAAGTGGCAGGTTTGGACCCCCACCACCTCCACGAAGCAGAGGCCCACCAAGAGGCCTTAGAGGTGGAAGAGGAGGCAGTAGAGGAACCAGGGAACTCCCTTCACATGGGGGACACATGGATGATGGTGGCTATTCCATCAATTTTAACATGAGTTCTTCCAGGGGACCACTTACAGTAAAGAGAGGACCACAACCACAAAGTGGTGGACCTCCTCCTAAAAGATCAGCTCCTTCAGGACCAGTTCACAGTAGCAGTGGAATGGGAAGTAGAGTCCCTGTACCACATGGAAGAGATAGTTATGGAGGACCACCAAGAAGGGAACCCCTGCCCTCTTGTAGAGATGTGTATCTGTCATTAAGAGATGATGGCTATTCCACTAAAGACAGCTATTCAAGCAGTGATTACCCAAGTTCTCATGATACAAAAGATTATGCACCACCACCGAGAGATTATACATATCGTGATTATGGTCATTCTAATTCACGTGATGACTATCCATCCAGAGGCTATAGTGATAGAGACGGCTATGGTCGTGATAGTGACTATTCAGACCATCCAAGTGGAGGCTCCTACAGAGATTCTTATGAGAGCTATGGTAACTCATGTAGTGCTCTACCTACACGAGGGCCCCCACCATCTTATGGTGGAAGCAGTCGCTATGATGATTTCAGCAGCTCACGAGATGGATATGATGGAAGTCGTGACAGTTACTCAAGCAGTCGAAGTGATCTCTACTCTAGCGTTGTGATCAGGTTGGCAGATAAGAAAGAAGGCTTCCCCCTTCTATAAAAAGGGGGTACTCTCCTCCATGTGATTCCTACAGCAGTTCAAGCCACGGAGCACCAAGAGGTGGTGGTCGTGGAGGAAGCCTATCTGATAGAAGGGGAGGCAGAAGCAGATACTAAAAACAAACAAAACTTTGGACCAAAATCCCTGTTCAAAGAAACAAACAAAAAGTGGAACCTATTCTGTCATAACTACCCAAGGACTCTTAAAAGGAAAAATTGTGTCACTTAAAAAAAAAAAATCCTGTTAAGTACTCCTCCATAATTTTTATGTTTCTTGTGAGGAAAAAGTAAAGTAGAACCTGTTAAATGTGTAAGACTTGACTTGTGTCCTAGTGTTGTAATTCTCTTAAGTGTCCCTGAAGGCCACTTCCTATTTGATTTTTCCCAGTAAATGAGGCAAGCAATACTAAGATCTTCCACAAACATCTAGCCATCTAAAATGGAGAGATGAATCATTCTGCCTATATAAACAAGCTAGATATTAGAACGGTGGTATTGGGTCTGCTACTCAAAGATTTCAGGGTATCTTCAAACTGAAATCTCAGTGTTCTCAGTGTGCAAAGCCTGAGATAGATGCTTAAGTAAGGAAAGTGCTGTTCACCCAGTAAAGCCAAAATAAAAGGATAATGCTGGCCATATATTGCCTTTCTGACATTTCCTTGGGATTCTACAAGAGCCTTCCCCCCACCCCCCATTAAGACCATTTAAGTATGTGTTAAACAACTACAGAATACTGAACAAAAAGTTTGGCCAAAACCAACCATGAAGCTGCAAAAAAAAAAAGGCTATAACCTTCAGTATGGATTGTATGGATTGTACCTCAATGTAAAGAAAATGAATACCCTCACAACTGGACCTATAAATAACATCATGATATTTGGAGAAAAGATTGAAGTCAAAGACTTGCTAGGATCCACAATCAATTCTCATGGAAGTAGCAGACAAGTAAACTGCTGCAAAAGACTCCTTAATTGTTAAACAGTGGAGATGTCAGTTTGAGGATGAAGGTGTGCCTGACCTATCAGGTATTTCCAATCACTTCATATGCATGTGAAAACTGGACAATGAATAAGGAAGACCAGAGAAGAATTGATGCATTTGAGTTATGGTGTTGGAGAAGAATACTAAAAATACTGTGGACTGCTAGAAGAACAAACAAATATGTCTTGGAAGTAGAGCCAGAATGCTCCTTAGAAGCAAGGATGACAAGACTTCATCTCCTGTACTTTAGACATATTGTAAGGAGAGATCATTCCTTGGAGAAGGACATCATGCTTGCAAAAGTGGACGGTCAACAAAAAATATGAAGACTCCCAATGAGAAGTACTGACACAGTGGCAGAAACAATATAACAACAATTGTGAAGATGGCGTTGGATTGGGCAGTGTTTCATTCTGTTGTGCACAGGGCTGCTATGAGTTGGAACTGAATTGACAGTACCAACCAACAACAACATTCAATCTGTGTGCTGAGCAAATAATCTGAGAAACTGGACTATATAAAGAAGACTGTGGCACCAGCATTGGAGGAAAACTCGTTAATATACTGTGATATGCAGATGACAAAATCTTTCCTGCTGAAAGGGAAGAGGATTTGAAACAGTTACTCATTAACATAAAAGTCTTACAGTCTTCAGTATGGATTATATCTCAATGTAAATAAAATGAACCACATCACAACTGGACCAACAAATAGCATTATGATAAAAAGAGGAAAGTTGAAGTTGTCAAAGATTTCACTTTACTTGGATCCACAATCATCACTCATGGAAGCAGCAGTTAAAAAAAATCAAATGATGTATTACACTGGAAAAAGATTTTTACTGTAAAAAACCTTTTAACAGTGTTAAAGAGCAAAGATGTCACTTTAAAGACTAAGGCTGGTTGACCTAAATCATGATTATGTTCAGTCATCTTGTTGTTGGTAAGTGTCGTTGAATCGATTCCGACCCATAGAGACCCAGTATAGTGTTTCCAAGAAGCAGCTGGTGAGCTTGAATGGCCGACCTTGCAGTTCAAATGGCTTTGCAGTCTGGCACATTAACCCACAGCACCAGACCAGGATTCCCTAGACGCATGCAAAAGCTGGACAGTGAATAAGGAATATGGAAGAAGAATTGATGCAATTGAAATGTGGTGTAGGTGAAGAATATTCAAAGTTGCATTGACTGTCAAAGGAACCTAATCCCAAAGAAAGGACATCATGTTTGGTAATTAGAGTGCCAGTGAGAAAGAGAAAATCTGTCAATGACATGGACTGACAACAGTGCCTGCAACAAATTGCTCAAACATAACAACTGTGAGGACTGTGAAAGTCTAGGCAACATCTTGAGATGTTATACATGGATTAGCTATGAGTTGAAAATTACTTGATAGCACCTAACAACATCGAAGTACTTAATTTACACTGTATTCATGTAAAATGATGGAAATCCATATTGTGATAAAGTGTTCATGAAATCTGGACAAATGACTTTAATCTCTTTGTTCCTAAAATGAGGATAGTTTTGTTGTGAAAATTAAATAAATCATGCTAAGTACTTAGAAGCAGTTCTTGGCACATACTAAATGCTCAGTGAATGTTAACTTTTATTATTATTATTAAATAACAAAATGTTTACTTACTCTTTTGTTGAGACAAATAACAGGCCACATGCTGCAACCCAGTGTGCAACAGCAACAGAGACAACCACACAGCAGCCATTTTACATTGATTGGAAGAGCCTTTTTCAAACATGCATTCACACGGCCAATGCTGGTCTTAAATTCTTCAGGGGCCACCTAAAACAAGGGTATATGCTTAAACAGTTTATGGGCAGTTTTTCACAAATTATCTCTGAACCTAAGGAAAATGTTTGTCTTATTACTTGGTTAAGACTACGTTAAGCATTTAAAAATGTAAAAATAGATGTATTCCCTCTTGCTCTCTTCCCATAAATATGCATTATGGACGTTTGGATGGCATTAGACAGTAAAAAAATAAAATTTTACATTCATAAAACTGAGTCTGATTTTCAAAAACTATCTTTAAAAATGACCAAAAATAAAAAAGGCAATAAAATTAATAGTAAAGAATACCGGTCAGGCCGTTTTCTTACCACTTATTCTTATCACAAAAAGCAACATTTTTTATAATCTTCAGTTACTCTGACCAAAAGTTGAGTAAGAATATAAACGTAAAATACTATAGGACCCCATACTACAGGAGGAAGCAGAATTAAAATTAGACTTTTGTAATATTTCTGGATTATTTTCATAAAGGTAACTGTCAAGAATTTTCTCTGTGCCAAATTTACAACATAAGGGAAAAGCTTCAGCAAAAATGGAATAACTTATGCAAACTTTAAAAGATGAAAATTCCTTAAATACAATAAATTAATAAATACCTGATTTTACCTCTCTATAAATATTTAATAAGTCAGTTCAAAGGTATAATAGGTAGGACAGGCAAAATTTTTACCAAAAATTCTGCTTAAATGTTATACATTTCAAAGAAGATAGGCTAAAATGTTTGCTTTTAATTTATAATTCTGGAATACAAAATGATTCCTTTTCATTTAGAATGCTGATATAGACTGTAAAATGAATGAAAAAAAGTATTGTATCTGACTGTGAAAGCAAGAATGAACAAACTGTGAGGAAAAATAAGCTACTGCAAAATAAAAGCTTCACTTACCTCTGGTATGAAAAACATAAATTTTACAGCTCTTCCAAATACAATTTTTATCAGAAGAATCTATTACAATCAGTCCCCAGATTATGAACTACTTCAATTTCTAAATCTGTCTTTTAGTAAGTTAGGACAGTTTGGTATGGTTTGTATTTAAAGTCAGTCAAATGTTTGTCTTAGTATATAATATTTAATGTATGTTTCTATGCATAAAGAAAAATTTAAGAGGTATTTCAAACACAACAAACCATCTCTAATAATATAGTAATAACATTTCAATGTGCATCACAAATCAGCACCAGTTTATTATTACAAGACATTGCATGAGATTAAATCAAAAGCCATTACAAAATTATATAAGCCTTTATAAAACAAAGATATAAAATTGAGAAGCTACTGTTTCTCAAAATATCCTCTATCTAGGAGTCTACATTTCGGACAGCAGTACTTCCATCTTTCAAGTATTTCCTTGGGCTCTTGCTGTGGTGCTCTAGGAAAAGGACTGGACTGCAAACCACAAGGTCGGTAGTTCAAGCCCATCAACTGCTTCTCAGAAACACTATGCAGGATTATTATGAGTCCGAATTGATTGTGGTGCTGTGGGTTAATGCGCTAGACTGCAAAGTCAGTTTGAACTACAAGGTTGGTGGTTTAAGCTCACCAGTCGCTCCTTGGAAACCCTCTAGAGGGTCGCTATGTGTCAGAACCGACTCAACGACACTTAACAACAACATTTCCTTGAATGATTCTACACTCTTTGATTTACACCATGTCAAAATGGCAGTTTGGGCATACTCAAGGGATAAGAATTGTGAATCCCTTCAAAATTTTCTTTGAGTATGGGGAAAAAAAGAAGCCAAGTCTTCCACTGGGGACCTGGGACTCAGCAATTCCTGGGCATCTGCAGGCGAGTGGGAGTGCACCCCCAAAATGGTCCATCTTTGCACCCACAGCGCACAATTTTTTCATGGTGTGGAGGGGAAGTTGCTAAAAGCCCTAGTGGTTCCAGAAGCTAATGCTCTGGTACCTTCTTATTATGTCTGACTCTGGGATTTAGCTCTAAAGTTGACTCTCCAATGTAGGCGGCAGCTGTTACTCCTGCCTTATCTAAAAAGAGACAGCAAGTCTGGAGATACATCCAGACTGTATTTGCACCTTGTAACTCTCCAATAATAGAAGGCAAGGGCCAACACCAACTACTATATACAAGGAAACAGTTTATTTTGAGAATTACACTGGGCATAAGCAGATACCTAACTGATCTTCAGAGACAAAATCGTGGATTTCTTCCATTCATTTCTCAATCTCTGTCAGTGCATCCTTCATGGTAGTAACTAGAGGGAGGAGGCCTGATTGAGTTGACACCCCCACCAACCATTGAAGGCTTCTACTGTGCACGCACACTGACTTGCACAGCAAAGACTACTGGACAGTCTGCTATGGTTTTGTATTTGTGTGCTTGTTTTTGGTTTTGCTTTTATATTTGTTTCTGGTTTTTTGTCTTTTTGGTCTTAATTTTTCCTGTGAATGGGAGCTTTTTCTCACTACATTATCCAAGAAGAGACAGCAAGCATGGCCATATAGCCAAGCTACAATCATAGCCTACAATATCCCACCATCCAGACAGGAGCCGATACCAGCTGCTACGCATTATGTAGATAACCAACACTTGGTAAGATTGCTCACAGTTGAGTAATACGAGAACTGAAAAGGGAAACTTATCTCCAGATCACATCCACCATGAGACACTCGGTTAGCTTAACAATACAGCAACAGACATTCATTTAATCATTGAAAACACATCTAACTATTGAAAATGTTGAAGAAACAGCAAAATATCTTGGCACACATCTACAAACAGAAAAGCATAACTAAGAAACATTACCTGGAGGTAGGCATAGTCTTCCCATTAGAATGAGAGCAGGCTTTGGATCTGCCCGAATAGGAATTCAGAAGAATGATATTCATACACATTCAAAGGCTTCACAGAAAAATGGAAGAAAATAAGGAAGAAGTCATGAAAGTGCTACAGGAGCAATCAAACAAGATAGATATAGATTTGGAAAAAATTCAAAACCTGGAAAAAGAGGTCCAAATGATTAATAATAAAGTATCAGAAATGGACAATACACTGAAATGGCAAAGGAGTAGAATTGAAGATATGGAAGCCAGAACAAGAGAGCTGGAAAACAAATCTTATAATACTGCTAAGAAAGAAGAGCAAGCAGAAAAAAAGGACTAAAAAACTCTGGAGAGAGTCTAAGATTCATGTTGTATAACATGAAGAGGAATAACTTAAGAATTAATGGCATCCTGGAACAGTAAGAATCACAGAAGTAAACAGAGGAGATACTTGAGGAACTTCAGGAATAAAATTTCCCTAACATCTTGAAGGATGAGGAAATACGCATTTTAGAAGCTAAACGAACCCCCAGAAGGCTATACCCCAAGACATATCATAATCAAGCTCTCCAAAATCAAAGACACAAAAAGAATCCTAAAAGCAGCCAGGAAAAGAGAAGTGTTACTTACAAAGGCAAGCAAATCATATTAAGCTCTGATCTCTCAGCAGAAACCCTGCAGGCAAGAAGGCAATGGGGAGACATATATAAAACTCTGAAAATAAAAACTGCCAATCAACAACTGTCTACCCAGGAAAGCTGTCAATCAAATATGATGGTGTAATCAAAACATTCCAGAATAAACAGAAGCTAACAGACATTGTCAAGGCCGATCCAGGGCTTCAAAACATCCTAAAGGGAATTCTTTGGACTAAAAACAAACAAGAACAGACAACAACCAGAGATTGACGGACGTGGCAACACCACTCAGCACTCAGTTGAAAGATAGCAGAGTCCAGAACAGAACAAAATTACAACAACCAATACAAAAGACCTAGGAGGTCAACCAAAGATCAAAATAACAATATCAACAAAGGGAAAAATATAAAAACACAGTTTCAGGTGGTGAGGAGAAGAGGTAGATTGCAGGATAAAACAGACTGTCATAAATGGAGGGAAAATTTAATAGATTATATGGTAACACCAAAGAAAGTTAAATTTTCACAACACACCATGAAAATGAAGATCCAAGAAAAACATGGAAACATTAAAAGTAAGTAGAAACTGACAAGAAAGAGCACAAAAACATGAAATAACCACAAGAAGGCACGCAGAACAAAGGAACCAGCAGCACCACACATACACAGACTAACATAATGACAGCAATTAATTAATATCTGTCAATAATTACACTGAATGTCAATGGATTAAAAGCACCAGTGAAGAGACAAAGTGTATCAGAATGGATAATAAAACAAGACACTTCGATATGCTGGCTGCAAGAGACATACCTTACAAACAAAGATAAAAACAGACTAAAAGTTAACAGATGGAAAAAATATACCAAGCTAATTGCAATAAAAAATGAGCAGGACTGGCAATACTGACCTATAATAAAAATAAACTTCAACGTAAAAATCAGCATAAAAGATAATGAAGGACATTATCTCGTGATTAATGGGTCAACTGAACAAGATGACACAACCATAATAAATATCTACGCTTCCACTGAAAGAGTCTCAAGGAACATAAAGCAAACCCTACTAGAATTGAAAAAAGAACTAGACAAACATACAATAGTGGGAAATTTTAATATGCCACTTTTGAAAAAGGATAGAACAATCAGAAAGAAAACAGACAATGACACAGAGGAACTGAAAAGCACAATCAACCAGCTTGACCTCATAAATGTGTACGGAGCATTCAACCCAACAACAGCACAATACACATTGTTTTCCAGTGTACATGGAACATTCTCCAGAATTGACCATGTGTTAGGCCACAAAACAAGACTCCATATATTTACAAATATCAAAATACTACACAGTATCTTCTCAACCACAATGCTATACAAGAAATCAACAATAGGAAGACCAAGGAAATAAAGTCAAATACATGGAAACTGAATAACAACACCCTGCTAAAAAGCTAAGGGGCAGCAGAAGAAATAAAACGTAAACTTACAAAGTTCCTAGAAAGAAATGAGAATGAAAACACAACATACCAAAACTTTGGGATATGGACAAAGCAGTGCTGAGAGGAAAATTTAT